TGCTGATTGTAGATCCCAAGCAGATAGGCCTATATAGAGATGATGTACTCTTTTTTATCCCCAATAGTAATGGTTCACTAACAGCAAAGATACAAAAGAAAATCATTAGAGCTTTTAAATTACTAGGGTTTAGGATTGAGACTTCTTCTAACCTTAAAATAGTTGATTATCTAGGCATCACCCTTAGCCTCAATAATAAAATGTTTAAACCATAATATAAAGACAATGAAACTCACACCTATATTAATGTTAATTCTAACCACCCCAATGCCATTGTGAAACAGATACCCACCACCATTGGCACTAGGATTAGTTGATTATCATCCAACATAAACATCTTTAATAAAAATAAAAATTTGTATGAAAATGCTCTCCATAAAAGTGGTTTTATTTAAGCCCCATAAATAACACTGAAATATCTAAAATGAAATGTAGACACAGAGAAAGGAAATTACATGGTTCAATCCCTGCCCTTTATGCAAACTATCAAATATTAATATCAGAGAATATTTTCTAAAGTTAATAAACACTTTCATAAAAACAACCCTCTAAGTAAGATCTTCAATAGGAAAATGATTAAAATTAGCTACTCCTGTCCTGTACCAACAACATATATAAAATTATCAACTCACATAATAACCATATTTTAAGAAATTTCTATGGGATAAACAACAAACCTGGTATTGAACCTTCCTGTAATTGTAGACCATAAGAAAATTGTCCAGTTGAAGGCAAATGCTGATCTATCAGGGTTATATATATCAAGCAACCATTTCCCCCAAAGAAAATATGAAAAAATTATAATGTTTACATTGGAATTTCTGCAGGGGAATGGAAACAAAGATTTTATAACCATTGGCACTCATTTTCTAACCTTAAACAAAACACCAGACTGCTCTTTCAAAGAAATTTTGGGAAATGAAGGAGAAAGGTTTGAACCCACAGATAGTTTGGAAGATTATAGGTTCTGCACATACTCCTAATAGTCTTAGAGATAGGTGTAACTTATGTTTAGGACAAAAAATTAGAAAAAATACAATAATCAAAACCAATTATTGAATCAGAGGAATGAATTAGTATTAAAATATTGGTATAAAAACAAATTCAAATTTCCATAATATAGGTTTTACTTAATTAGCTATTATATTTCTCTAACTCTTCAAATGTCAAATTATAATTAATTTTAATTTTTATATTCCAATTTTTACACTATATTAATTTTATCTTATAATTTGTCCCCTGTTCTAAGAACTCTCTTCCTTTTATCACTTACATATCTTTATTTATATATTTTAAAGTTGTTTTTGAAAATAACTTTGTATTTTTAAGTATAAATTTGTATTTTAATGTATAACTTTGTATTTTTAAATATAACTTATTTTTAGATATATCTTATTTTAAATGTAACTTTTTATTTTTTCTTTATATTTTTATTTTTAAATACATATTTTTCATTTTGATTTTTAAATATATGTTCATTTTTTAAATATAACCTATTTATTTATATTTATTTTTATTAAATATAAATAATGTAGTTATAAATATATACATAAATATATTTATTTTTATTAAATATAACTTTTTAAATATAATTTTAGTTATTTCTAAATATAAATTATTTAAATATGACTTATTTTTAAATATAACTTATTTAATTATATCATATTTTTAATATAACTTGTTTTTGGAATATGATATTTTATATCTAAGTATGATTTTGTATTTTTAAATATAATGTTATCTATATATTTTAAAGGTTTTTTAAACCCCTTTTTATCCCTCCTTTAGTTTTAAATTAACATTTCATTCTTCATATAACCCCAATTTAATGTCATAAGGTTTATATCCGGGTTTAATTTTATAAAACCTGTTCTCTTTATGACAAATACCTTCCACCCTCTCCTGACCACTGTCTTGTGCCTTTCGTCTGACTGAAACATTGAAATGGATAAATTCTGTATTAGTTTTACAATGTTTTTTTTTAGCTTTCACAGTTAAATTTCTATTTCTGACACAAACTCAGTCTTTACTGGGGTTGATAAGACTGATGAATATTTTCCTTGGTCGAAATAAGCTTATTCTCCATATGAGATGGTTTTGGATTTTATTCTCTCTCTCTCTCTCTCTCTCTCTCTCTATATATATATATATATATATATATATATATATAGGAAGAGGGAAGAGAAATACAATAAATGTGGGTTACAATTTTTAGATAAAAAATGTTAAAAATACAGTGACACTTTGAATTTAGATTTATAAATTTTTGGTGTAACTTGAGGTATAACTCAACTTATACTTGACTGAATACAAGAGAAAGATTTTTTATTCTGGTTAGAAATTACAAGCTTTTTTTATTATACTCTTGACAATTTTTTCTTCAGTCAGTTATGTGCCATACATGGTACATGCTTAAGCGATCATGTATCTTTGATGAGGCAGATTTTTTTCCCCTGCAGTAAGTTGCCATTTCTTTTTGTGGTAGACTAGTTGCCATCCAAGACTATAGAACCCAGTCTGTCCTGCTATTTACTCATAACTGGGGGGGGGAAGAAGAGGATTCATACCTTTCCCAAGGGTATTAGAATGTAAGTGAATGTAATGGATTCGACTAGAATTTGAACTCAGCTCTCTGATTCCTTAATCCAAGCCGCTATCCATTACTTCACCGGACATCCCTAATTTTCTCTTACCATTTTATATTGACCAAACTGAAGAGTGTTTAATTTAGCATCCAAATGAATTTTCTTTTATATACTAATATTCACCGATACAAGGCCCAAGAGCCACTCAAGTTAGAGGGTTAATGTGTGGTATTGTATGAGTGTAAGAAAGAGAACCAAGTGAAGTTCATGGGGCTGAAAAGATAACAGATAACCCTAGACTTGAAGTGGTCAAGAGTGTAGTGATTTGGAAAACATCCTGTCAGGAGTCTGTTCCACAAAGCAGCTGTTCTTGGAAAAAAGCTGTCCAAGTGGAACTTACATCTTACTATTGGAATACGAAAGGAATGAGGATGATTCACACTTGTGGGTGTGGCTTGGCATTTAGTGTGAATACAATTTTGAATTTGATGTATATGTTTAAGTTCTTGATTTGACAGTCTAAGAAATTTTATTGTTGTTTATAACTCTTCTATTTTATGTATCTACTAGATTTTTACATTTATACTTATATATATTTATTTAAAAATAAATAAAAATATGTAATGTTATTGTTGTGCAAATTAATAATGACATGAGACTAAATCTCTTGTATGTAAAATTTCTGTTTATTCAACCCTGGACATCATCAGTTAATGTTGCCAAGTGGGTATATAGCTTTGGAGTTTTCTCCAAACACAGATTACATATTCTCATAAGGATGTAAGAAACTCTTTTTTTTCCTCTCAGGTGGATGTTTATATATCTACCTGTGATCTGGTTTGTCCTGTGTGTGTATATCTGAAGTGCAGTTGAGGAGACCATCTGTTTACATGTTGGGAACAGCCACCAATGTCTAGTGAGGGCATAGATTTGCACTTGGTGGCTAAGAGAACATCTTTCAGGTCTGCAGGACACTGAGTGCAAAGTCTGTTTTGGTATCATGAGCCAGTGTTTAGCAGGTCGTAAATGCAAGATGACCTAACAATGTTACATGGCATATGCCAAGTTTTCTCATTTGAATTTCTCTTTCAGACATAAAGAACATTAATGGCAGTTTCTAATCTGGCACTGGAGCCGCAAAGACATACTGGACTCATAGCAGAAAACACAGTGACTCAGAGATAGTGAGCTTCTTGAAAGTAACCATGTAAACAAGAGCAATGACAGGTGACCCTGTATTGATATGACGAAGGTCCCTACACTAATCCACACCAATTTCATGTTGTCATTAATGGTCATTAATGATCATGCCACTCGACTTCTAGGTGAATACTATTACCTACATAGAGTGCTCAAGCTCTGAATTGAAGATGTGCACATACAGAACTCTTCTTTCCTAAAATGTAGTCGACATATCTCAGGAGTGGCTGGCTGAAAATTTTCATGAGCATATCATTCCCATAATGTGTGGTCTCTTAGCTCCTCTCATTAGAACCACCTGGATTCATATGTTTGGTGTGCTGTTAAGAGGGTGATCAACCAATGGCCCTCCAATACCAAGATCTCATTAAATATGACCACCATAGACATAATAGCCAACAGGAATAAGAATATGACTTGGCCATACAATTGCTTCTGAGACTGACGTACTATAACCATGCTGAAACTTTCCAATAATGAAGTAAGTACAAACTTATCTTTGGTCGTTCCAACTCTGCACAAGGCTGACTTGAGCATGACCAGTATAACAATGTTTATAGTTACCCTAACTTCTGGACCAAAAAGAAACAGACATCCCCAAGAGAAATTGAGAACTATGTTTCCCTACAGTTTCCCCTATAAAAAAAGAGAATAAACAGTCCATAGTAGAAATCCAAGTTTTTATTGCTTCTACATTAATTGTTTGCATATGAACATGCACCCACCAAGAACATACACAAACATGCAACCTTCAAATTCCATAACACCTTCCACAGACTTAAGAAGGATTTCTCCTTCAGGCAGTGCTTGAACAGCTTTGCCATGATTGGGGATAGCACAAGGCTAATATTCTTAAGGACAACCACTGGGATTTTATCTGGACTAGTAGCCTTCTTAGGATCAAGGCTTTTGATAAGTCTTGAGGTATTTAGATAAAAACATGAATGTGCAACAAAGATTGAAAGGGATAAGCAAGAGAATGAGACAAACAAGGAGAGAAGTGCAGAGTCAGAAAATAATTGATAATTTTAGTTGCCAAAACAAATGAAATTTCCACAGGTTCAGTTAGTTTTGATGAAAATAATAAAGTTCAATTTAGTTTTAACTTTTTATTTTTACTCTGTGTTCTTATTTTCTTTGCTGGTATTTGGTTTTTGTATTGATATGATATTAAAGAGGATTCTTTTGGTAATTGAAAAATGAAGATGTACTAACCTGTTTGCTTTGGAAGGTAAATTGGTAAATCCGTTTGAATAAAGATGTAGCCAACATCTTTCTGTACTGGAATTTTATATTTAATTATTTTTCCAATGATAATATCAAGACATTCGTCATTATTTATCTCAGAGAAATTATTTTCACTTTGGTAAGTTGTGATATACAAATATACATAGTCATTGATGCAGTTGTCATTAAATACTCCAAGTTGAAACTGCTTTTTTTCTGAAAAATAAAAAAAAAGAGTATAATGTAAGTCTATATTATAAAAGAACAGCTGATTCTCTGTCCATCACAAACTGTTCAAATGAAACTTTGGATGAATCTGTGTAATGTATATATGCATGTGTGTGTGCATGTGTATGTGTGTGTGTGTGTGTGTGTGTGCCATTTAATGTATATGTAAGCACACACACACACACACACACACACACACACACACACATACATGTGCATACAATTTGACTGGGTTTAAAATAAGTCATTGGAAGAAGACATTCTGCTTACACACAGTCTGGATAACTTCTACCCTAGGTTGAATGATAAAATCGAAGATGAACACAAGAAAAATACTTAATTTTTTAAACATTAAAAAAATTTCAAATAATTAGGAGATTTTATTGAACTTTTTGGATATTATTCAGTAATGATTAGAATTATTATTTTTATTTTTTTAATTTTGTAAAATATTTTTAGGTCTGTCATTGAATTAAAATATGCATGTATGCAAACACACAAGTTGAATAAAATTAAAATGAACAACTGTGTCATGAGGTCTAATTCTCCTTTATATCAGGCAACAACCCCTGGGTAACAGGAAAAGAAGATAAGCTGAAATGTACAAGCCTTTGAAATCCTTCTTATGACTCCATTTGTATTTAAACTAAATATATTTTCTAATAAATGTAATATTTTAAATAGACAAACAATTTAGATTTGAAATTTGATAATCTTGCTATTTTAATTTTTGACAGTTAATATATGAAAAATAAACTTGATAAGATGAATTTACAAAAATTAGAAATAAAATAAAACATCTTTTGCTATTGTCATTCAGACTAACTTGCATGATTTAGCAGTTGTTGTGCCTTTTTACAAGACAGAAAATATTTTGAACAGAGGGTCATTTTGCTTAGTGGCATATCAACATCTCTATGAGTTACTTAATGCTGAAATTTAAATATTTTGTATGCAATGTTATGGCTTCAGCTACATGTTTTGAATAAAATTTTGTCTTGGACTACAGATATTTGTAGATAATTTTATACTTTCATGATAAACATATGTTTTTTTTTAAATATATCGTTTTTAAATGATAAAAATGTAGTGTTGGTAATTTTTTATAAAAATTTATTGCTAGCAACTTTACTATAAAAATGTATTTTTATATTTTTTAGTGTTGTATGTTGGTCATTTTACTATGAAAATGTATTACTGGTATTTTTACTACAAAAATATATTTTTATACTTTTGTAGGGTTTTGATTTTTGTTTGGGGGTTCACTGTTTTCCCACAGCTGGGACCCTAACAGGTGCTACCACCTCAAGTCAGAGTGGACCTGGGAACAGCAGTAATTAAGAGGTGGCTTCACACTCAAAACCTCCAACCTCTCAATCAGAGACCTTGCTGCTAGATATAGTTTTTAAACAGAGAAACAAATTAAGTGTTAAAATCTATATAAACTGACCTTTATGAAATTTAGAACAAAAACGTCTGGGATATTGTTACAAGCTGTTTTAGTCTGCAAGAGATACTGTTGCAAGTTTCAAAGATCTAGCTAATGGTCAAATGTCACTTAAAGACACACAATCTACATTGATATGTTGTGATTTGTAAGGAAACTTTTGTATAAAGTCTGGATGCAAATGAAGGAAACTACAGGTTCTTCTTCTATGTGCTGTGTTTTAGATTTCTCCCTGACTCACATCCCAAAATATGATTTTAAATCACTTAATTCACTAGTTGCCTCAATCTGTTTTGGGGAGTGTTTATGTCTTAATAAGCAGAAGGTCATCATTAGTTCTTCTCTGCTTCTATAGGCTGTGTTCCTTCAGCATATTGGTGATCATGATTCTCCACAATTCTTTTGCCTTCAATCTATCTTGTGAATATCAAATTTTCCAAGCCCTCTTACTTAATTAGGCACCCCAGAAATTTCAACTATCTCTTCTTGATTTTAAGTATAAGCATCCTTTCTTCATCTATCAGCATTCACTGAAATATATGTAACAGTTCAATACTCTTTTTTTCTGTTTCTTAATACTTTACTTAGCTTTTGAAAGGTACCTTTTGCTACTTATTTCTTAATGACATTTTTGGTTATCCCAATGTGCCTTTGGATTGCATTCATACTTTTCATCCTCTGTTAAGCTAGTGATAAAAGAGATGAAATAGGATGCTGGTATGAATCTAAAAGCCTATTCTCCAAATTTAGGTCCTTCTGTTGCAGGGACTCCTCTCTAATTGACCACGTCTTCAAGGGTGTAGCCATACTCACCATGCTTGGTCAATTACTAGTTAATGAGACTATTTAACCCATAGTGGAGGTTTTGAGTTCAGATTTGTCTTTCTCCTAGACTGGTTGCCACCCAAAGCGATAGGACCCAGTCTGTCCTGCTACTTAGCCATAGCTTTGGGGTGAAGTAATGGATCCATACCTTTCCCAAGGGTATTTGCATGTAACTGAATGTAACAAGCTCAATTGGAATTTGAACTTGGTTCTCTGATTTCCCAACCTGAGCCACTATCCATTACTCCTAACCATGTCTATTTTAATTTTCTAGTTACTTTATGCTAGTCTACTAATTTTGAAAGTAGAATTATTGCAAAGGCATTAAACCATAAAATATTTTCACAATAAAGAAAAATGTTGGACTGGGGTCTCTGTAATTGTGCATTAAATAAGAGTAAGTTTTCTATTCTTCCTCTTTTCAATCAATTTGAGGTGTTAACATTTTCTGATAAAGCTGAATGTTTCGCCTATAAATTCTTACATTCTACTCTGGACTTGACTCATCTGGAGTATCCTTGCCTAATTTCCCACTTAGAACCAAGTCTCTGTTGAGTGATATCCATATAACCTCTTCTATGGTTTCTGCTATCATCTCTAATCTGGATCCCTACAAAGCAAGTGGATCAGATAGTATCCCTGTAATGGATCCTGAACAGGCTCCTCTTCTTTCTAAAGTGTATAATAAATACTTCACAGCCTGTGTCTTTCCTGCTTGTTGCAAATCCTTACCTGTTGTTACACTCTTTAAGAACTCTGGTGAACAGTCTAACCCTTCTAACTATTGGCCTATTATCCTTCTCCTGCTTTTTAGCAAACTATTAGAGGCCTTAATCAATGCTGAATTAGTTAAGCATCTCACATCATAGGACTTTCTTTCAGACAAGCTATATGACTTTGATTTCTCTTGGTCAACTGTTGATGTATTAATGATTATTGTAGAAAGAGTCTATCAAGCTTTAGATAAGAATGATGAAGCTTGGGCTGTTGCTTTGGACATCTCAAAAGCATTTGATAGGGCTTGGCATCCACAAGTTGAAAGGTTATGGTATCTATGGGTGAATTTTTGAAATGATTCAGTCTTTTTTTTATCAAATCATAAAATGGCAGTTGTCCTGAATGGCCATATTTCTAGATCCTACTGTACTAATGCAGATGTCTCCCAGGACTTTTTTTTTTATAATCGGTATCATCTCAAGCAACACAGTAAAGCCACTAAAACACAAGAGATTACAGAATGTGGAAGAATTAGGAACAGAAACATTAGTAATGAGCAAAAAGAGAAAAAAGTAATCAGGAGGATAGTAGATAGCAATTGACATTGCATTTAAATTTTATCTAGACGAGTGGCCATTTCATTTCACAATTTGATAGGCGCCATAACTTTTCAGCTTGAGAAGACCTGTATACCAGACCCTGTCAAAGGCTTTCAAGATATCCAATGTTACTGCCAAGGCTTTACTGTTTTTAACTAGGGCATGATAGATGATTTCCTGAATTATCATCAGTACATCAGCAGTTGACCTGGAGAAACGAAAGCCATATTACTTGTCTGAGAAAAGGCTCTGAGATGAGAGACGATGAACCAATTTAGCATTGATTAGATCCTCTAAGAGTTTCCCAAAAAGAGGTAGAAGGCTAATAGTCTGATAGTTGGAAAGGTTAGATGGTTCTTATAAACTGGAACAACAGATGATGACTTCCAGTAGGCAGGAAAGCAAGAGGCAGTGAGGCTTTTATTATACAAATTAAAAAGAACAGGAGCCAGTTCGGGAGCACACTTCTTAATGACTATTACAGGGATACCATTGGGTTCACATGCTTTGTGGGGATCTAAGTTAGAGATGATAGAAACCACGGATGGGGTTATAAGCATATCACTCAACAGAGATTCAGTTCTAAGCTACCACAGAATGGTCCGAGTATTGTGAAGCTCGGCAAGAGCGAGGAAGGGAGGTAAGAAATAAATCAAGTAGAGTTTGTTTTTAATTTTCATTAATGACTTTTCTGATGACATCAGCTCCCAATTTGGTATTTATGCTGATGACACAACCATTTACTACTCTTTCAATACTAAGTCTGATCAGTTTGATAATGTAAAATTGGTGGCTGATCTCAAAAATATCCTATGGCCTGTTGTCAACTGGGGTAAAAAATGACTTGTTAATTTTAATGCCTCTGAAACTAAACTGTTCTCTGTTAATCATCAGCTTTCGATCAGTATGACTGATGCTAACCTCAAGGAGAGTGACTCATTGCACCTTCATTCTTGGCTGACATGAAGTAGAAAGACTACATTGAATCCATTGCTAGATCAGCTGCTAAGAAAGTTAATTCACTGTGTCATGCTAGACAATTTTTCTCTCCAGAATCTATCTTACATATCTATAAAACTATGATTTGCCCATGCTTAGAATATTGCTGCCATATTTGGTCCAGTGCGCCTGCTATTTATTTACAGATTCCTCATAAAATCCAAAGAATCAATATTATTGGTCCTGATCTGGCATCTTGGCTTATCACTCTTCCAGCCCAATGTTTTATGTATGTATCTAGTGTTATAAGAATATTTTATTTTCCAAACACAGTCAGCATATTGTGGCTGTGTTTAATAATATCAACTATGAACATGGCTACAATGTGCTGACTGTGTTTGGAAAATAAAATATTCCTATAACTCTAGATACATACATAAAACAATCTATTCAGGTAAAAG